TACAAGCAAGAATCTCTTCTAATCTAGCAGGGTGTGGGTATGTTTTTAAACACACACCTGCCTTGGTGGTTCAGTGGCTGCTTCTTGGGATGAAGCTGTTTCTCCTGGCACGGTTTGTAGGCTACAAATCACATCTCACTTTAATGGTTTTTGTCCCAGTGTCTTAGACATCATCTGCAGGTGTGCGAGTTGGACCAAGAAGAGGGAAGGAAGACAAGGGTACTCAGTGGCACTGCAATCACCTGGACATCCCTACTTGAAGTACTTTGATGTGATAAATGTTATTTCCAAATGGGAAAGCATCTGTGCTTCCTCACATATTCATTTCTATGTCATTCAAAGGTGAAGTTCACTTTGTTTCTTCTTTTCCTCTATTTTCCTCCCAAATCCACAGACCTCAAACCACAAAGAGACTCAGCTCAGATAGCTCAAATAACAGAGGAATGCTGACAGACCAGCACTGCCCCGAGCCTCTCCTATTGCAGCTATTGATTCATCCGGGGTGAGAGAAGGGCTTTGTGTCCCAAAACGTCTTCCAAAACAGTGAACAGACAAAAAGAAGATGTTTAGACATAATGAAGATTTGGCCATTTTCTACTTTGAAGGGCTTTTTTCATCTTCTGTGGAAGGAAGCAGCATTTTTTAAGACTGAAATCTCACCATCCTCTCAATGAATGTCCTTCCCACTTCCAAAAGGACGAATAAGGCAAGCCTGAACCACTGACAGCATATGGAGGAGGGAGCAGCAGGAAGCTGCCTCTTTCCCTTGTTTCCCTGGCACACGGTTCTGCTGCTGCCCAGACCTCCCCACCAACTGCTTCTACCAAAAGCATCTTGAAGAAACACGGAGCTGACCCTCTGACCCTGCAGTTGCAATGTCATCCAATCCATGGTGATGTTTCTTTTCCGAATTTTCTCTGGTGGTGAAATTGCCTCTTACATAAGGTTAGAACTGCTGTGCATTTTTAACACTGGGGAATTTATTTTTTTGTTTTCGTTAGCAAAAGGCAAGGTCAGGCCTTTGTCTTCTGTCCAAAAACACATCAAAGGAAAAGGGTGAGTAAAAAAAACACAACAACAACAACAAAACCTCTGTCTAAAGCATTTCAGAGTACTCATGCAGCACATTAGAGAGTGAAAAGAGCTTCCTGGCTCCTATCTGACTGTTGTTGCAGTTGTTAATGTGGTTTTGTTCCATTATTAATGACACCAGCAGAAAAAATCAGACCTTGCAGACAAACTTGAGAGACTCTCAGAGAGCAAAGCGGAGAGGGGAGCCCTTAAAGCAGGGGAAATAAGTGAAGGGAAGGGGGAAATAAAATGAATACTGGAGTTAATCATGCAGCAGTAAAGCTCTCCAGGTGTCTCTGGCTCTGTATGGATGGTGAAACTTTCACAAAGTCTATAAATCATTCCCGGAGCTGGCTGCTTTAAGGGCACTTTGTAATTAAACATGAAAAAACTGCTTACTTACAGCCTGTGCTTTATTGTTTGATATGCTCGTGCTCTCTAGAACTGCTGCTTGGAAAAGTGATTAAATTACACCCAGAAGGGCAGCACTAATGGATGAAACCTCCATAACCCTGGGCAGCGTATCATTCCTCCATCTGAATGCAGCAGGACAGGATTTCAATAAAGAGCTTAGTTAGGAAAATGCATGATGAATATGCCGAGCTAAGTAATCTCAGCATTAATGACCCACTTTACAGCTTTCCTGTAAAGTTTCTCTGGTTTAGCTGCCACATCTGCTAGAGCTCTCCTACTGCATTTCGGGTGCTGGGGGTGACTGGGGCTACTGATCACCTGGGCTTGCCACAACTCAGGCAATCCAATCTAACTCAGGTTAGATTAGGTTAGATTATTTTAGATATGTTAGATGTTAATAAAAAACATTATATGAACTCCTTGAAGTCAAACAGTTTGTGCCAGCGGCTACAAACCACTGCGTTCAGACACCGCTGAGAGCATGAGTGGCTTTTCTAAAGCCCTTAGAGCCCTTAAGTGATGCTTCTCGTGCACTAAACTCACAGAACTGTTGAAAGGTTTCAGTTGAACGAGATCTCAAAGCCCACCCAGCCCCAACCCCTGCCATGGGCTGGTTGCTCCCAACCAGCTCAGCTGCCCAGGGCCCATCCAACCTGGCCTTGAGCACCTCCACGGATGGGGCACCACAGCTCTCTGGGCAGCTGGGCCAGGGCTTCACCACCTTCTGAGTACAGAATTTCTTCATAGCATCAAACCTAAGCTTCTCCTCTTTTAGTTTAAAGCTTTTTCCCCGTCTTCTATCGCTATAAAAAGTTGGTCTCTTTTCTGCCTGTAAGCTCCCTTCAAGTACTGGAAGGTCACAATGAAGTCTCCCCAGTATTCTCTCTTCTCCAGACTGAACAAGCCCAACTCCCTCAGCTTTTCTTCACAGGAGGGGTGCCCCAGCCTCAACCCCCTGCAATTTGGGAAAGCAGATCGTGATTCAGCCTGGGCACAAATCAGCCTGGCCCACACCAGGCACTGCAGAGCTCCTCAAGCCATCCAGCTCACAAGGATGAGGGATACTGAGAAAACTCCTCCACACACACGGTTTGCTGAAGAAGTTGGCACTTGCAATGACTTTTCAGGCAGTAAATCCTGTGAGCTGCTGAGCTGAATACTGAGAAACTCCACAAGGAACTGGGGCAGGAGCAACCAGGCTGAGTTTCCTCCTTGACCCATGTCCTCAGCAGCAGCCCTATGGCCTGGAATCTGATTAAATACTTCCTTAATACTGACTATTTTCTCATGTACTGCAGGGTGTTTCTTGAGGCACAAGTTTGGTTGGTTAGTTTTGGTTGGTTGTTTTTTCGTACTTCAATGTTCAATAATTTTCCCTCTAAAAAGAAGGAACAAAAATGTCTTTGCTGTTAATCATTGACGCTGAAAACAAACACCCATTTCTTATCCCAAGACTGAACACTTGCCGTATGCTGCAAAGCCAAAACTTCCACTATCTGGGAAGCACTCATGATCTGGATTTCAACTTCATGACAGCTACCTGTCATCAATAGAACAGATTAAATCAATGGAACCAGTGTGATACATTTTAAATTACAGTTAAATCCATTTTATACAAGCTCTTGCCCCATACGCTGCCAATCAGGTCATTGAGCCAAGAGCCCAAAAACAATTTAATAAAGGCTCAAAGAAATGAATAGGGATAATGGCATAAAGTCACATCGCCATGAGACCTTCAATGCTTTGAGGAACAAAACTGCCATGAAGAGATGGGGTCAGGAAGAAATTTGCCACTGGGGTCTCCTGGGGGAAGGACCCCATTGCTTTTTGCTGTAATATCATTTTCATCACAAGCACAATGCTGGCTTGATCGAGAGAAGGGGAAACCACAGGAGCAGCTCAAACAGATGTTGTGAACTTTGTGGGTTCTGTACAGAGGATGTGGACCCTCAGACACGCCAGCACCACAGCTGTGCAGGGTGCAAAACTTGTGCAGAGCTTTCACTGGCTTTTCTTGCTCTTGTACCCTCACCTGCCATCCCTTTCTTGAGTTTTCAGGGATGTACCAGGTGTCAGGTAAGCTGGAGAATTTATTGTGAATATGCATTGTGAATAAAAGCTGAGCCCTGGAGTTCATGGAGGTTGCATCCTCTCTAGTCAAGGGCTGAGCTAAGAGCTTGAGGGCTCACTTCTCACCTCCCCTTTGTTGCCTCCTGTACTGGGGCTGTGCTCCTGCAGGAGCTCTCTGTGACCCTTCATCAATCAAGGGATGCATATGGCAATGGCAGTGACCATTTCTAAGCAAGGATTCATTCTCAGGATTGGGGCACTTGCAAGTTTTCCAACCCCGTTTCTCCTATCTCTTACTGTCCTAGCTTTTCTGAAAGGATGACCAGCGTTTCTGTGGGCTTCTTCCAGAAGGTGACACTCAGTACTTATGCTGGACATGGAGTGATGGGAATAGACTCATTTTCCATACGGTCATCTGAGATGGTGACTGCCCCCTGGGGTAGAGGTGCTCTCTCTCGTCTTTATCCATATGAGACTAGGCCAGGTTGGACGGGGTCCTGGGCAACCTGATCTAAATGTGTATGTTTGGTGGCCCTGCTAGGCAGGGGGGTTGGAACTACATGATCCTTGAGGTCCCTTCCAACCCGGGTGATTCTGTGATTCTGTGAGACTGTTCAAAGAATCGCAGAATGGCTGAGACTGGGGGGCTCTCTGACTCCATCTGCTCCAACCCCTGCTCCAGCAGGGACACCCAGCGCAGGGTGCCCAGAACTGCATCCAGGTGGCTTTGGGAGATCTCCAAGGAGGAGATCCCACAGCCTTTGTGTAACCTGTGCCATTGCTCCATCACCTGCACAGCACAGAGGTGCTTCTGGTGCTCAGAGGGAACCTCCTGTGTGCCAGTTTGTGCCCATTGCCTCCTGTCCTGGCACTGGGCACCGTTGACAACAGCCTGTCCGTAAGTACCACCCCTCAGGTACATATGGACATGAACGAGATCCCCCTGAGCCTCCTCATCTCCAGGCTGAACAGTCCCAGCTCCCTCAGACTCAGTCAAAGGGTTTCCATTTTGGGTGACTGTGTAGAGCCAGCTGGACTCGACCGTCCTGTGGGTCATTAAGGTGGGAAAAGACCTCTAAGCTGACCACGTCCAGCCGCAGCCCACCCCGCCGTGCCCAGTCCCTCAGCGCCACATCTCTGCTGTTCCCGGGCACCTCCAGGACGGTGACTCCACCCCTCCCTGAGCCGCCCGTGCCAGCGCCTCACCGCCCTTACCGAGAAGAAATGCTTCTAATACCCAACCCGAGCCTCTCCTAGCGCAACTGAAGGCCATTCCCTCTCGTCCTATCGCTGTTACGTGCGAGCAGAGCCGACCCCCACCCGGCCACAACCTCCCCTTCCAGCTCGGGCTCTCCCACGCGGCTCCCTTGGCGGCCAATTGCATCCCGCGATCGTGTCGGGGCAGGGAGGAGAGGCGCGGGGAAGGGTCGGAGGGGAGGAGGAGGCCGCAGCCCGTTCTCGCGGGCCCCGCCCGGCGGGGTCAATGCCGGCGCCGCGGCCGCTCTCCGATGAGATTTGTGCGGGGCTGTCGGAGACGCGGTGCCATCGTGGGGACCGTCACCCTCTGCCTGGCGGCCGGCTGGGCTCTGCAGAGTAAGTGCGTCCGCTCCCCTTCCTTCTTCCTCCTGCGTGCGCCCGTCGCCCTTGGCCGCGCCGTGGCCGCTTGCGGGCGCTGGGTGCGACGTTTGCTGTGCGGGCTGCCGCGTTTCTCTTGGGGTCCAACCGGCAGGACCGCGTGTCACAAATATTTGTCGGTGTTCAGATCTTGCGGTGCTGCGTTTGGCTCGTGGGCTGCATGGGGAGTTCAGGTATTTGCAGATAGTTCAGTGGAAGGGCGTATCTTTTTAACCTTTACCTTGCAGTCATATATGCAAAAGAACTGCCTTTATCCCGGCATTAGAAGGCACTGCAGAGAGACTGTCAGCTCAGCTCTGGTCAGAAACAGAGCAAAAGGCCTTTAAATAAACGCAGGGAACTGAAAACAATGAGAGCGGTTTGCAGCGGTTACCAGGAGCTCCCATCTGTTTGTCTTACTGTCACAAAGCCCTTTCCCTGGCCTGCTCTGTCTCTGGGGAAGACAGGCTGAAGGCGAGCACCCTGGCCGAGAGGTGCTGTGGGAGGGCATGGCGAGAACCCATGGAGGGAGAATCCCAGCAGCAGTGTCCTGGGAAGAGCTGAGGTCCTACTGCTGTTCCAGCTCGGCAGCAGCAGTCAGGCTACTGCTACTGAGGGTGGGGGAGCTGAACCAGGAAAAGCCCCCCCGTGCTTTATCTGCCTTTGGTCTGGTTTGATTTCTGCAGGCAGGAAACCCAGCCTCTCGCCAAGTATCACTAACGTGCCATTAACTCAAAAAGGACGTGTGCCCATTGAAACTCAAATGTTTGGTGTTCTTCCAAATCCTCATGCAGGAAAACCCCCATGCAAGTAGGGTTATTGCAGTTACACATTAAACCAAATGATCCATTCTGTTCAGCAGTTATGAGCAGCTCCATAATCACATTAGTGGGAAGTGTGTGATAATTACTTTTTCGTATACATTTTTGCCTGGAAGTTGGTGCAAGAAGATCCCTCTGATGATGTGATTTATCTGCACTGGCAGATAGCTGGCTGTCCTGATGTAGCTGTTCTCTCAAACACTGCTAACACATTATTTCTGATTTAAAGCCTTCATGACATCTCCAGCAGCCTGCTGTCCCTCTCATTATGCAAACATGATGAAGTCCTTGCCAAGTCTTCACGTACTTAAGCTTGCTACAGTCCGTGCTTTGGGGGGATGATTAGTTGATATAACAGCTTACTTTGGCCATGGCTATTAAGATTTCCATTTTAAACATAGAACTTCAAAGGCAAGCCAGTTACTGGTGAACACAAAAGCATTACTCTTGATCCACGGCATGAGGTAAATAAACCAGGTTTTGTATTTCGTCAGAATGTTTGTTGTCATTTTAGTGTGGGCATTAGGCTGACTTGGTCTGTCTGAAGTCCCTATAAACTGGAACATTGTAATTGACTTTGGAAATCATAAATGCCATCCCTGTTTTGTTTGTTTGTTAAGTGCTTGGCAATTGAGTTGTAAATTCATTACTGTGAAACGTACTGACTTTGGGGACACAGGAGAGATGGAGCTTTGGACTGTTCCCAAAAGACAGTTCATTTACCTCTGAGGAGGCTGTGGGTTGCAGGGCTTTGAGAGCTTATGAAGAAAGTGCAGTGCCTACTTTTCCCATACATGATAAAATACATTAAGGATGAGGTTTATGAGAACATGATGTGATTTCCATTTCTCAATTTGAGGTAATCAAAAGACCAGAGCTTCACACTTCCTTCTCAGAAGGACCCTTCCACACTTTTTCCTTGAAACACAAGCTGTTACTTGTCCTGTAAGACACAGACATTTCTTCTGACTACAACCAAATAAAGCATGTATTTAGTCTTACGTTAGACATGTGTATTCCTACAGTGGTCAACAGAGAGAGAAACTCCTGTCCTGAAGTCACTAAGATAGGATGAAGTGCCCTCCCAAGAGGTCCCACCCTGCCCAGGATATTCAAGTGCTGCACCCCTCCTGCACTCATTGCCCCCTTTGTCTTTCAGCTCCTGGAGGAGTGTCGTTAATTGTCCCACAGCCCAACATCAACGCAACGGTGGCACAGAATGTCCTCCTCTCTGTTGAGTACTCCTGTAGAGGCATTGCCACTGTGGAGTGGAAACATGTGTCGAGCTGGGGCACCACCAAAATTGTGGAGTGGAAAAGTGGGCATTACATCAACATATCCAGCGCCTATAAGGACAGAGTGACTACTTTTGAAAATGGTTCTATACAGCTTCTGAACGTGGGCATGAGAGATGCTGGCTACTATTTTATCACAGTTACAGAAGAGTATGGAACCAACACCTATGGCACCATCATACTCAATGTTTATGGTATGAAACTCGTGGGATTTCTTAGCCTTACCCTGTGTTTAAACACTAACCTGCTCATAAGCAATGTCGTAACATCACGCATTTCTGCCCTCTTTGCAGAGATTATCTATGAAGATTTACATTTCGTAGTGGTTCTCTTTGTATTTCTTGCTGCAATATCTGCCATTTTGATCTGCTTCATGTGGCTGTGTAACAAATCCCTCTACCTGTTCCAGAAGAAGACACATAAGCTAACAGGTATCTAAGAATGCAGCCCAGACACACGTTTTTCCAATCTGAGAAATCTGAGAAACTCACTCATGGTTTGAGCTGTAAAGGTGTGAAGTGGTGACAGAAAAACGAAATTGGAAGGGCTTGGCTGAGTCATCCTGTTTAACTCTTTACTAACACAGGCAACTGAATAATAGGTATTTAATTGAAAAAGATCCACAGGACATCTACCTTGTATTTTATATCAGAAACCAAAAAACACTTCCCTACATCATTAGCTGCTGCTGTTTTTTCACAGTGGACACACAGCTCATGAGCTTCTGTAGCTACTGAAAATGTTCTTACCATGCCAGAGTTTGGGTAAAGCCTCTCCTTCCTCCAGTTAAAGCCAATTTTCCTATGCAGCAAGAGTTCTTCAGAGTCTGAATTCAGTGCACTCCTTGGCAGACTTCAGGAATACTGCAGTTCTGGAGACTTGCTCTGTCATCATCCAGAACAGGATCCAATGACTTATGTTTCAGTCCCATCTTAGGAGAGCCCTCCTCTGGAAGTCATGGAGCCCTGTGGACTTTGTTTCACTTTCCATAGTGCTTTTTGTCTTGTACTTGACAACTACTGTCACATTCAGGGTTCTGAGGGACTTATTATGTGGTCAAATATTTTGAAAAGATGTACTTAAAAGCAAATTCTAGATGAGTAAAACTGGAGTTAAAATTAAAAATGTCTCAGCTATTAACATGGAGTTGTTAATTTTGCAATGCTGACCTTCCCATCCACTTGCCAATCAATAATTTCATCCTTTCATTTGCAGCAAGTACAACTGAAGAAATTGAATTGGAAACCATTGAGTGTTAGCCAAGGACTGTCTCATAACAAAAATAACAACTCTACCTCAGGAGAAAGTATTGGCAAGAAAAGCAAGAAGGAACCTAAAAGGTAAAGTATTTGTGACTACCATAAAAAATTCCTGACTTACACTGCTAATACAGGGCCTGAAATCAGCAGTGTCTGATGGACTTGTTTTGACCTGTTACGATTTCAGCTCTGCTAGTCAGAGTACGTGTTCATGGCTGAGCACAAACACATTTTTGTGGCTAACTAATAAAATCCACAGCCTCTGCCACTCCTAAAAACAACCAACCAATAATATCTACCTGTAAGAAAATGATAGTGTTCCTGCAGGACACTTGCATTTTGGCTACAGCAAGTCCCCTGTTACAAGCAGAATAGCATTTAAGATCACTCTATGATCCTACGAATAAATTTAGTGTCTAATTACAATATTACATTAAAAAATTAACTGCAAGGGTTGAATCCTGTTTATCATGCACATGCTGCTACTTTCAGTCATAAGGAATTTCCCAAAGCTCTGAACACAAGCTGTAATTCTGAGACAAATCTGACATTGAAATAATGCCAAGATGGTCAAAGTTCCTCTGCTTATGCTTCCAGTTGTTTACACTGCCCAGGGACGTGAACACACATTTTATGACATTGCTAGGAAAGGCTGTCGAACAAGGAACTGTGCACAGGCACTGAAGATGATGCTGTCTGAAATGATTGGAAGATAAAAAACTGACCCCACACCAGTAGTGTGGCAAAACATTGAAAATGTAAGTGACCAAGGGCCAGTCTGTGTCTACAGATACCACATGGCTTTTTGAGCTTAACTGCTGCTACTGCCTCTTCCACACTTCACTCACTTGTCTCATAAAGCTTTTACGAGTCGTAGAATCATAGAATTGTTTGAGTTGGAAGGGACCTTTCAGGGCTGTCTGGTCCAACCCTCCTGCAGCGAACAGGGACATCTACAGCTTGACCAGGTGCTCAGAGCCCCATCCTGTCTGACCTTGAGTGTCTCCAGGCGTGGGCAACCCACCACCTCTCTCAGGTGACAGTTTCCCTCTTCTCAAGGTCAGCATTGCTCAGCAGTTGAGGTACCACAGGTTTGATCCATGAAAACAAAGAACTTCCTATCAAGTGCGTAACAGTGCAGATAGAAGCCACAAAGGCTTTTTCCAAAGCACTTGGAACACAACACTTCTGAAAAGTCAGCCCCAGACTGAATGGCCATTGCAGTGCACAGGGCCTTACAGCCACTCATTAATTCAGGTGTTAGATTCAGCTGGTTGCTCCTTCCTGCACCCAGGAAGTAAGAAACTGAAAAATAAAAGAAAATCCCAGATAAAACACAGCTCAACGAAGGAACAGTTTGTTCCAGTTCTTCACACTAAAAATGTATTGCCAGTCCTCTGCATGTCTGAGTGAATTAAACCTAGGTGACACAGAAGCTGAAAGTGTTTCCTTTAAGTTTGAAGGACTGAAAGGTATTCATGTAATATACGTAATACTTTTATTTCTGCATACCTATTTCCATTTATTACTTTTAATTCCCAAATCTTAGAACTTAAACAAAGTGCATAGGCTAAGCTGAGCACATATCTAGAGTTGCTTAGAAAATATGATAAGTGCAGCTGACATTTAAAACCATTTCTTGCCTACAAACATTTACTTGAATAAATATGACAAGTCAGAAAATGTATGCAGGCACAAATGCCCTGACTCGAAAGTTGGTGACCACTGAAAATCCTTACAGTGTATGTGCACTGTAAAAGCAAAGAGAAGTTCCCAGCTAGCATAGTAGAGACCTGCAAAGAACGACCAGGGGGTCTGGTGGATGAAAACCTTAACATAAGCCAGCAGTGTGCTCTTGCAGCTCAGAAAGCAAATGGTATCCTGGGCTTCATCAGCAGGGACAGGGAGGTGATTGTCCCTCTCTACTCTGCTCTTGTGAGGCCCCATCTGCAGTACTGTGACCAGGTCTGGAGCCCCCAGTACAAAAAAGACAGAGAGCTGTTGGGAGAGGGGCCAGAGGAGGGCCTCAAAGATGATCAGAAGGGAGCACCTCCCCTACAAAGACAGGCTGAAGGAGCTGGGCTTGTTCAGCCTGGAGAAAGAAGGCTGCAGGGTGACCTCATTGCAGCCTTCCAGTACCTCAAGGGAGCCTACAAACAAGAGGGGACTCAACTCTTTGAGAGGGTAGATAACTGTAGGACAAGGGGAAATGGTTTTAAGTTGAGGAAGGAAAGATTTAGGTTGGATGCCAGGGGGAAATTATTTACTATGAGAGTGGTGAGGTGCTGGAACAGTCTGCCCAGAGAGGTTATGGATGCCCCATGCATGGAGGTGTTCAAGGCCAGGTTGGATGGGACCCTGTGCAGCCTGGTCTAGTATTAAATGTGGAGGTTGGTGGCCCTGCATGCGACAGGGGGGTTGGAGCGTCACAATCTTTGAGGGCCCTTTCAACCCAGGCCATTCTATGATTGATAGTTGGAGCTCTGAGCTTGGTGAAAGATACAGCAGCATCAGATACCCAGCCTTGGCTCTAGATGCTTTTAGATAGTGATAGCCAGAGGAACAAGGAGGCAGTAACTAGACTGCACGCTGCTTTTCCCATAGACAACTCCTTGCTGAAAAATTTTATCCACATTTTAAAATGGTTACTGGTACAGCAATAAATTATTCCCAATTCTGTGAAACTGGTATTTGTCAATAATATTACTTGTTGCAGTAATTGATATAAAGAACGTGAGGATGAAATGCCTGTGGCAGCCCATTGCTGCACACGAGCTGGCTGAAGAATTTAAAATTTTTCTGCAAGCTGTTACAAAAGTATAAGCTTAGAAATTAATAGCAATTCATTTTCCACTTATAAACTGCATGCAAAACTGCAGCAAAAGGTAATATTTGCAAGATTCCAAGAGATCAAGGACATTAATGCATTTTGCATTTAAACTGCAATTAAAGAGATGTCCAAGTTCACAAAACTGCTTTCGTAATCAAGTATAAAGGTCTTAGTGCTCTCTAAACGTACCCAGCTTGTGCTTAAAGGCATACTGCTAAGAGCTCCAACTTCGTGTCTCAATTTAGAGGTCATACCAGCCTGTTTTCCATCAGTATTGAATATTCCTTTTGTGAAAGGCACTCTGCAGGCTCCTGCTCCTAGTTTTTACTAACAGCTAGGCCTGAAAGTCTAAACAACTTTCTGTGCCCATCACATCCATGCACTTCTGAAACAAGATAAATGATCCCCCTGCATCCTTCTTTTTCCTCCAGAAGGAAACAAATCCTGCAAGCGTGACAACTTAATAGCTCCAAAGTGATTATTTGGTAACCAAGTGCTTCTTTGACAAAAAGACTGCTGCTCCATGCAGACTTGTCAGTTGAGGTTGAAAACAGTGAGGTACACAGATCCATTTAATTAATTTTTCATACATGCATCTGATTTTGGGTGAGATTTTTGTGCTGTGTCAGGTGCACAACGTGCTGGGAGCTGCACTGCCACCCCCTGTTCAGTAAGGAGCAAAACCTGCTAGCCAAGCAATATGGGAACAGGCAGTTGTGTAAGACTCACCCACCCCGAGATGATCAAGAGACCTGTGTGCTATTTTCAACCATTATTTTTTCAATGTCATGAATTATCCAAGACACCTTATGAGAAATGCCTTTCTCTGCCACAGTCCAGTTGCACATAAGTAAGAACTTCAAGGAACTGAAATAACAGTATGTTCCACAATGGAAAATTTCAACACAGTATAATAGCTGCTTTGGATACACACTGAACAGCAGCTTGCCAAAAACAGTTGCTTAATAGGTATTTCTAACAGCTATTCCATATTGCTCAAGAACGTAGCAAAAGAACAGCTGTCACTACAGAAGGACAGTGTTTAATTCAAGCATGTTCTATGTGCAAAAAGTTCTTTTCTGTGTATGTATGGATATACACACCTTGTAACACAATGTGGATGAAAATCTTAACCAGCTTACACAGACCAGTTTCAAAGAGACCTTTAGCCATTAATGACAAAGCAAAAGGAAAACTGGGCAAAACTTTAGTAGAAATATCAAGGCAGCTATAATTACAACAAAGAAGGAGAAACAAACAAAATTACCTCTTGAAGACCTCAAGGGAGCTGACCTCTAAGAGAAAACTATCATTTTTCTGAATGGCAGCAAATGCCAGGGCAGAAAACAAAGAACAGGATGACTATGGAGATCCAAGGCTTATTACGTGAGTTACCTGCTCTTCCTCTTCCCAGTCTGTTCTTTCTAGACATGAATTTACACAAAAAAGTTACACAAAAATTCAAACTGGCAGGAGAATTTTAGACATAAAGATCATTTCCTCGACAAGCTTGCAAACAACAGAAATTATGCAGTAACAAATACTGCATAAAGTCACCTACAGCCATGTCACAAGCTGTGACTGTACAACCCTCAACACCACTGTGCCTCTCCACAAGAGATTCAGTGCATGACCCAGAGCCGCACCAATGCAGTGCAGAGGTATTCCCTCAACCCCAAGGCAAGAACATCACACACTGAAGACTTGTAACTTGAATTTTAAGCAATGGTACTTTCCTCAGGATATCAGCCACTAAAAGGTTTATCAGCTTAAATGTCAGAATTTTCTTTTTATCAGAAACATTTGTAAAAATCTGTTCAGAAAAAAGCAGAGGCTGGGAAGGAAAGGGTATCATTTTGAGCAGGCACCTTTCGTAAGGCAAAGGACTCTTGAATTTCATTTTATAGAAGAAAAATACAATAATCACTTAGGAATGTTGGTCTAGGTAGAGCAGCCTGCAGAGATACAGCTGAAAGGAACTCTTGGAAAAAGCTGTATTGCACATCATTGATAATGCTTTATTATAAACCCTACAACAGATGTACAGGAAATAAATGTGGTTTTGTTTTCTTGTGTAGCCCCACAGGCTGAATCATCCTTTGTTGCACAGGCAGCACAGCAACGACTCAAAGCCCCCACGAGGAGACTGAGAGATGATCAGCATGGAGTCAGGGCTGCCATGAGCAGCTCCATTTTATACACAAAGTTGCGCCCTTCCATTTTATTCCACTGGACTTCCTTGAAGGGCCCTCGAAGATGGTTCCACTTGTTGTCCTGCAGCACGTCGCCCTTGGGGAGATCTTTGCACTGACTCCGTGGAAACTGAACCATAACTTTGCTGCCACTTTCAGGACCATTACGTACTGTGATGAACAAAGATTTTATGAGTATTTTTACTCATGTTAAATACCCTCCCTCATGTATGCAGTACATTATTGTTGAGTCAATTCCAAACACGCTGGAAACAAATGACAAATTGCCTTACATATATTTATGTTGTAAGCTGGTTTCACACTTTTTCACTACAGTTTTTATGTTGGCACTGCTCTTTGCTAAAGCAAATCAAAGAAACATTTGACAAACAATCCACAGAATACATATTTCACATAAAGTGCAAAGAAAAATAGCCTTAATAATATCAAATTGTTGGGTGGTTTTCTTGTTTTCCCTACTTAAGTCTTATCTCTAAGGTGATCCCTACCATTCTATTCCAAAAAGTACATTTTAATTTTCATGAGCTGCATCTATTAAATATTTATTCTATTGGATACCTCTCTGGAGAGGAATGAAGACAGGACTGCTGTTATCATCAAACTGCAAGTTTGGTGGAGAGAGAGTGATATTCTCCAAATCTAGGTGACAGTTTTTTTGCTTGTATTTCTTCGTTGTATTTATTTCTTTTCTTTTGGTGGTGGAGGGCTCATTATTTGGTTAAGGAGGTAACACTCAGCTTTCCCAAACATTACACCTGTGGCAGCGGATCAGAACTGCTGTATGACCACTTCAGATCTGAGAAGCACAGGTGGACACACAACTCATGCATCAACCAAAACTAACACGTGTGGATCCAGAAGCTACCTCAGCTGCCAGTTCTTTGCCTAGGAAAGGTAGTCTTCAAAATGTAGACCAGAGGAGCCTAGTCTTCATCTAGTCGAAACCCCTGGCACAAAGCAAGGTCTTCAAGAGCAGGTTGTTCAGAAAGATTTCCAGTCAGGTTTCCGCAGCCTCTTGGGGCAACCTGGGTCCAACCATCCTCACAGTGAAAAAGGCTATTATGATTAAATGAAATTTCCTTGTATCAGTTTGTGCCCATGGCTGGGTGCCACTGAAAAGAACCTGGCTTCATTCTCACTGCACTCTTCCCTTCAGGTATTTATGGACGCTAATGATGTCACCCCTCAGCCTCCTCTTCTCCAGGCTGAACAGTCCTAACTCCTTCAGCCCTTCCTCACAGGAGAGGTGCTCCAGTCCCACGATGCTCCTTGTGGCTGTTTGTTGGAATCACTCCAGCATGTTCTGCCTCTCCTGTACTCTCCTCCCCATGTGTGGGACTTAGCACTGCCCTTTACTGAACACCCAGAGGTTCCTGCCAGCCCAGTTCTCAATGTGTTCAAGTCTTAGGATGGCAGCACACATATTATCACATTATCAGCTACTTCTCATTTTTGTATCACCAGCATCCATTTTTCTATCACCAGCATCCAGCTGCTCTATGCAGCCATGGTCCCAGTACTGAACTCAGGGTTATACCACACTTGCATCCAGCTGGATTTCATGGCTGAGGATCACAACCTTTTAAGCCTGGCAATCCAGCCAGCCTAGCTCCTATTCCATCACTCTGTCAATCAAGGGGGATGTTGGCATACAGTCTCAAAAATCCTGCTAAAATAGAAAACGTCCATTGTTCTCCCCTCACTTATTGAATTAGTTATCTCACTGTAAAAAGCTTTTGGACTGATTGAACGTAATTTCCCCTTCATAAATTGATGTCAGCTACTCCCAATCATCTTATGTCCTTAATATGTTGGGAAACTGCTATTTTTTTTACCCCTTCACCTTTTTAGTAACTGCAGTGAGGCTGACCAGATTGGAGTTTCCCATTCTCCTTCTTTAATATATGACACAGGCCTTCTTCCTGTCTTCAGGAATCTCTCCTGATCAACAGGACCTTTAACGGATCATCAAGAGTGAATTTGCAGTGACACTGACCAGGTCCTTCAGCGCTCACACAAACATCCTACATCCTTCTTTGTTCTAGACTCACAGAATTATCCTTTAACCTCAGTAAGGAGGGTCAGGTTAAGTCCGGATCCATATCATGGGGACATGGGATTTCTGAAGGTCAGTCTTAAGACCAAAGGAAAGAGGACATCAGGTGCTCTAGCCTTCTTCATGTTCTGAGCTACCAGGTCCTGTCCCCACTTAGCAGCAGGCCCAGGCTTTCCCTAGGCTCTCTTTTGCTGTTGACGTACTGACTGAAGCTCTTTACTACTCTGTATGTCCCACACCAAATTCAATCCCAGATGCACTTTAGCTTTCCTATTCCCATACTTGAATTCTTAAGCAGCATCTCTATCATATTCTCAGGTCACCTGCTTCTGTTTTTTGTGGCCTTTTTCATCCGAGTTGAATCACGAACTCCTTGTTCACACAGATCTTCTGACACCTTGCACAACTTGGTGCACATGCAAATGATTATCCCTGACCTGAAAGAGGTGATCGTTGGAAAAAACAACCACCACCAACCAGCTCTTCTGGACTCCTCTGTCTCTTCATAGAACAGCATCCCAGGTGATTCATCCAAGCAGATCCCTACAGAAAACCCTGTGCTCCTTAAGCCCAGGGTTGTGATCCTGTTGTTTGCCTTATTCCCTCCTCTCAAGATCACAATGGTTTCTGCAATCTGTTCTTTCTGTGCCAGTTCTAAGAATTATTTTCATGCTTGTCTAAGTCAAACCTGGTTTAATAACTAAATGGCTACTTGGCAAAGTACTCATTCGCTTTAGGTGCCAATTCCACACACAAGAGATCATTTCTAGAATATTTTGCTCTAAGTTGTCATTGTTCTAAAAAATCCTGGAGACTGATTTTAGAGGAAAGCTTAAAAACCCTTTAGAACTTAAGAATTCTGTACACATTTGAAATAGGAAGCATTACCTGAAATGGCATAGTCTCCATTTGGCGATGCTACAGTTATTGCAGATGCATTGCCAATACTCTCCACTGGCCCCAGGCCAACGTGATTGCTGAAGCTCAGCACGTGCCATCCCATAACTTTTGCAAGCTGCTGAACTGCATGGACTTGGTGCTGCGACATCTGAAAGGTGACAAGAGGTTCATCTTCTCATCAGTATTAGCACACCACAAAATGAAATACAGAGGAACTATAACTGGGTTCTACTATGGGTTTTTTGAGTGGTTTTGTTGTTGTTTGGGCTTCTTTTCTTTGTTTTTGTTCTTTTGGTGGTGGTGGTTGTTTAAAAAAAAAACAACAAACCCCAAAACATGTCATGTATGTCAGGATAGCTTTGAAGGCAGAGGCAACCACTACATCAAACACACCACTCAGCCAGATGACTTTTTCAAGTACTGCTTTCAATTAAGAAAAAAATAACCCAACTGTTATGAAAAGGATTTTGAAATAATATCTTCTCTTGGACAGAGATCGTTGCTGTAAGATATCTAAAATACCTTTGCAAATATGTATTAACAATGCAAGCTCAAATAAAGGCCAAGGTTCTCTGGCACACGATTATCTCCATTAATGCTCAAGGGCTTTAAGCTTTGAACTTCAACAACTTACAAGATTAGAAGAGAATGTTTTTCCGCATCAAAAAGTAACACTTGTTGCAAAGAATAACCCAGCACTGTTAGCAGTTCTCTGAAAGTCTAAAACCACATCTTCATGAAGAGATACCATCAGTAGAATCTGTTTCAACTTGTTCTCTTTGCCTTGTGGAGTTTGATGCAACTGCACCAGGCCAAGCACCGTTACTACAGACCTGTATTGTGACTATTTGCAACGTGTATTAGGGAGACTGTCACTTCTGAACAGAACCAGCAGCTTGCTCCATGCAATTAACAAGCCTCAGTTCAAATACCAGCTGATTTAATAATGGTTGCTGCAAAGCAATCATTGACAACACAGTGCTGAAATGACAATAATTTCGGGCTCATTAAGATCTCTAGATTGGATTTGGTTACAGTAAGTTTAATATATTGAATACCTGTTTCCCCATTCCCCCAGGTTTATGAGAACCTGCTCTCACTGGCTGGTTCTGAAGTCAGCAACAAACCTATAGCCCTGATAATGAGTATCACTATCAGTAGTATTTCTAATGGAAGGGCAAAAAACTGATTGCTGCTAGTGACCTGGTATTACATTTTATAGCAGTTGCTAAATTCACTATACAAACATACTGGAAAATCCAGTTATCCACCTTTCCCGTAGGCAATAACTTCATTTCAAGTTTTCTAATGTTTTCTACACAGACAAAGGTGAGATTTTCACTTCTGTTCCCCAAAATACCAGAAGAAAAGGAAGAACAAAGTATACAAGTATACCTGAGATAAAAGGAAATCCTGCAGCTCTTGCTCTTGATGAGACAGTGTAATAACTCTTCCATCTCTGTGCACTACTCTGATTTGTTCAACTCCAATGTTGAGCTGTAGTTGAATGGATCTTTGAAAACAAGATACACATTTATTCAGAACGCATTTTAACACCTCAGAAAATAGGAAGTTTGTTCTAAGAACACAGAATTCTTCTGATTACTTGATAAGAACTCTAAGATAAGGATAGGGCAAAGCCTGTGGAATACAATACCAACTTCAAACATCTCAGTTACATCATTCACCACAACGTCCCCCTCTATAATGCAGGGCAAATGTATTCCATGGCACATTCCCAGAGCTGGTCCGCTGCTTGTTCAAGTCCTGAGGTACCTCACAGCCCCCTCCCTGCCCCTGTGCCCATTTCTTTCCAGAAGACAGGGGAAAATTTACTAAGGAATGGTTCTATCCTGCTGTCAAGACTTAAGCAGCAGAGGTACTCTGGAAGAGAGACTGCAAACTGCACCAGTGTGGACAGAGCCAAAGAGAACTGCTCAAAAAGGCCAGAGGGTGCTAAGGCAAACAGCTCACCCACCCATACCTATCAGTGAACGCACCAATGGTCAGCACATAGACATTCGTTTCCACTACCTGAAGTCTCATACTTCAGTGACAATACAGTAATAACATAAATTACATGAGCTTCACATTTCAGTGCCTCTGTAATCAAGCTAGGGCAGAGCACTGACTAGCTCTCCATGCCCAGATTGGAAGCTTAAAGGCAAGCATGTACAGAAACACTCTATATTCAGCTATCTCCATACACCTCTGTCCTAAAGAACCACTTTCCCCTTCGAACCTTTCCCTGAAGGAAACTGTGCTAGATAACTACTTACTAAGTTTCAACATTAAATGCACTGTAAAGTGGGTGAGGAGGTAGCTGTTCCTTCTCACCACTCAGAAAAACACAACAGTTGTACACAAAAACAGGCCCCTAGCTTTCTGTTTTACAGCAAATCTAAAATTGGGGGTTGAAACTAGATGATCATTGTGGTCCTTTTCAACCCAGGACATTCTTTGACTCTATGACAATTGCAACACACTACTTGTATATGCCATGCTACTGCAATGCCAGTTTACAAATAGAAAGATGCAAATGTTTTCATACTTACTTGCATATCTGTTCATACCCTTGAGAAGTTATTAGAACTTTAACACTGGATTCATAAACATCATTTATATTTGACCAGTGGGCCTGAATCTGAGGATCCTCTATACGACTAGCCAGACTGTCAATGGTTCGAGCAGTTCTAGAGGAAAAAGAGACATTCCACTCAAAATAACATTGCTGATTTGTGCTGTTATCTTCTTTAAAGGAAATGAGTCGATGTACTTCAAAATTCTAGCTGCAAATTAAGCATGGCTGTTTACTGTGTCTGTTTCACATATATTCTGCAGAAGTATTGCTGCAGTATTATTCAGCATCAGCTGCTCAGCAAAGAACATTAAAAAGTATAACAATCAGCAGCCTCCATCACAGCTGTCACAGACCTCACTAAAAGGAAAAATTCAGATTTCTCTGGCCAAGTATTGTGTGATCATACATCGTTATCCTTCTCAGTACTTAAACAAAGAAGTAGAAACTGAACACTGACAAAAATCCTGTTTTCCATAATGACCCATTTCATCACACAGCTCGTGACCCACCTGCGCCTCAGAAAGATGTGTTTTGCCTGTTTTATGATCTTTTCCAGAAGTCCTTCGTTTGACTGCAAAGAACTGATTTCATTTTTATCAAAAGCCTGTGGCCCCGCTAGCCTCATTCTCTTGTGGCCAAAAGGGGCACTTGCTGGATGTGGCATCACTGTGGAGCTCAAAGTTTGCTTGTGACACTGCAAACAATTGTTAAAAGAGAAAGTGACCAAATAACACAACTGCAAGATTTAATACACATACTCTGAATACGCTGATTCACATCAAATCTTAAAACTGTTCCCTTTTTTACATGACTTCATGGCTTCTGGAGCCACGTCCTATGGATAGGAACACTTTCTGGAACACGCTTTCACAACTGCTGAGACATCTGCACTTTCTCTGTTCAGGGAGGGAGCACATCTCTACCTATTTCCCCAGGTCTTCCCATTCAATTACATGACAATCTGAAGCACTGAAGCAGTGATCAGACCTCAAGTGAAGCAAAGTTACTGCAGACATTTATTGATCTTTTTTTGTAGAAGTATAATCCAAATCAATACTCAAATCATTAAGTACTTGATAAACACTAATTACACACAGAGGTAGAAAAGGGAAACTGAGGAGCTGGACTGAAAACACCCTTGCATGGCTTTTCCCGAGTGAGCAGCCAGGTTTAAGCTTTGGTTCAGAACCAGTGTGCCATTAAAGCACAGGTGGAACTCCTTAGTCACCACCGCACAGTAAACCTGACCAGCAGGTTGCTTCACAGAAATGGACAGAAATTTACTGGCCTCTAGTGGCCATCTGTCATTACAGCAGTGCATAAGTCCAAGCAAAAGCCAAAAAGAGCCCCCTCCAATCATGGACTATGAATGCATTACCTCTCTGATAAGTTGATGCAAATTATGTTCCAGAACATAGAGATGATCCTCAGGATTCTGTTTTTCCGAAGCAGACTTCTGTGATTTTTTGTCATTGGAAGAGTGACACAGAGAAATAGACAACTGCAAACCTGTGCAAAGCAGGTTTTATTTAATAATAAGGACACAGTTTCCAAGCAGGCTGTTGAGAACTTATTCTTGACTTTATACAGACATCAGCTTTACAACCAACATTCACTATCTCAGAGAAAAAAAATGTAGAAATCAAATGATGGAGAGCACAGCAGCAAAAGCAGGTAACAGTGTTCACTGAAGTGTTGTCAGGCCAACTACTACCTCAACAGGTTGATTTCATACCTATTTCTACGACTCAAACCCACACACAGAGGAAAGAAAGAAAAAGGAAAAGGTTTCTTCCTAAGTAGTTGCGCATCCCTTGTATGAATTCAGCAGCTCTGACCCATCTTCATCTTCTCTAATTGCCCCCATTGAAGAGCATCACCCTTAGTTCCACAGATAACCCATTAACTCTCCTCTGAAGTTTCACCTACATGAAGCAGTGATCTTTGCAAAGCTCCAAAACATGTACCTATCACTACAGTTGACAAAACAATGTTAAGTACTACTGACAAAACCCAGAGTCTGTATAATAAAATATGAGTAAGTTAGAAAATAAAGTGTGTTAGTGAATTTTACTATAATTAGCAAGTAAAAATTTGGGAAACTCTGTTTTTCATAATCTTTGAAAAGCAAGGTTAACACTTTGCTTTGTTTCTTAAACTAAAAAAAAAAAAAAAAAAAAAAGAAAAAGTCTCATAAAACAGAATTTCAGTCTGTATTTAACAAGTAATCCTACCTGGGAAAGGCTGAGAGATGATCTGATTTTTCACAACAATGTGAGGAATTTGTGATTTAATTTGAACAGCTTCTCGTGACAGCTGAGCAAAGATTTCTTTACACAAGAGAACATTCTGTGCAGTTTCCAGTTTTGTCTGCCAGTGCGGGGTACCTGAAAATATAAATTCACGTCTTCAGAAAAGTAAAGAGAGGCTGCTTTTCTGTTCAGATACCAGATATTCTACAGTAGTTGCCCTGAATGCCATCACTGGAGTAGTAAGGTGGTATTAATGGTTTTAAACTGAGACAGGGGAGGTTTAGGTTAGATATTAGGAGGGAGTTTTTCACTCAGAGGGTGGTGACGCACTGGAACAGGCTGCCCAAGGAGGCTGTGGATGCCCCATGCCTGCAGGCATTCAAGGCCGGGCTGGCTGTGGCTCTGGGCAGCCTGGTCTGGTGGTTGGTGACCCTGCACATAGCAGGGGGTCAGAACTAGGGGATCACTGTGGTCCTTTTCAACCCACACCATTCTATGATTCTTCTACAAATTGAGTATTTCTCAGAATTTATTTGGATTAAATAAGAATATTCTTGTCCACTCTTCTTTAAAGCTTTATGTGAGAATTTTCAAATTAAATATCACCTATTTCTTGAGAACACACCCAGAAAATAACATACCTGGTTTTGATTTTGGCATGGGTCTTTTAAAGAGATTGACTGTCCCAAGGTCACCAATGTCTGGAGCTTGTTTCTGAATAGAAACCTATGTAGAAAAAGAAGGAAAAAAAAAAAAAAGAAAAAGGTTACCTGAAGTTTACTCTTTGTTGCAAGCATGCAAATAGCATAAAACCCATGCTTTTGTATTGAATTTTCTGGCAAACCTTTATATAGGCTGATCCCTCTAAATCACTTGGGATTTGAACATCCAAAGGACAGTAATCCTCAGGTATCTTTTTATCCAGGTCAATGTCAGTGTTTTTAATCACCTCAAACGTGCCATGATGAAGGAAAAGGGAGCCTAATCAAAGAAGAACAAAGACACATGTAGTAGAACCCTAAAATCATCCAAGTTGGAAAAGATCTTCAGGATCATCAAGTCCAGTCATTAATCTGATCTACCAAGTCCCATCACTAAACCATGTCCCTTGGTACATGTCCACATATCTGTTACACATCTCCACATGGGGACACCACCACCTCCCCAGGCAGCCTTTCCAACCTTAAACTACTCCCTTCATGAAGAAACTCTTCCTAGTATCCAATCTAATTTCTCCTGACACAACTTGAGACCATTTCCTTGCACCTTATTGCTTGTCACCTAAGAAAAGAGACCAACACTCTCCTTGCTGTAAGCACAGAATCACAGAACAGCCTGGGTTGTAAGGGCCCTCAAGGATTGTGACACTCCAACCCCCCGGTCGCATGCAGGGCCACCAACCTCCCCATTTAATACTAGACCAGGCTGCACAGGGTCCCATCCAACCTGGCCTTGAACACCTCCATGGATGGGACATCCATAACCTCTCTGGGCAGCTGTTCCAGCACCTCACCACTCTCATAGTAAACAATTTCCCCCTGGCATCCAACTTAAATCTTTCCTCCCTCAACTTAAAACCATTTCCCCTTGTCCTACAGTTATCTACCCTCTCAAAGAGTTGAGTCCCCTCTTGTTTGTAGATTCCCTTGAGGTATTGAAAGGCTGCAATGAGGTCACCCTGCAGCCTTCTTTTCTCCAGGCTGAACAAGCCCAGCATCCTCATCCTGTCTTTGTAGGGGAGGTGCTCCAGCCCCCTGATCATCTTTGAGGCCCTCCTCTGGACCCTCTCCAACAGCTCTCTGTCTTTTTTGTACTGGGGGCTCCAGACCTGGTCACAGTACTGCAGATGGGGCCTCACAAGAGCAGAGTAGAGGGGGACAATCACCTCCCTGTCCCTGCTGGACATCCCTCTTCTGATGAAGCCCAGGATACCATTTGCTTTCCCAGCTGCAAGGGCACACTGCTGGCTCACGTTAAGTTTTTCATCTATCAAGTCCCCCAAAACTACTGTCTAGGTAGTTGTAGGGAGCACTGAGGTTTCCTCTCAACCTTCTATTCTCCAGACTACACAAGTCCACCTCCCTCAGCCACTCCTCATTATTCTCATTTTCTAGTCCCTCCAACTTTGTTACTCTTCTCTGTACACATCTGAGCAACTCCACATCCTTCTTGTAGCGAAAGGCCCAAAACTGAACCCAGTACTCAAGGTATGGTCTCACCAATGCAGCATGGAAGGGGCAATCCTTTCCCTAGCTCTGCTGGCAGCACAGTTTCTGATGTGGGCCAGGATGCTATGGGCCTTCTTGGCCACTAAGGCACACTGCTGGCTCACATCCAGACATTTTCTAACCAGCATCCCAGGTCCTTTTCTGCCAAGCAACTTCCCAGCTGCTCTTTCCCACACCTGTATTGCTGCAATGCGTTTGTTGTGACCCAAGGGCAGCACCTGCCATATGGCTTTGGTGAGACTCAAGGAGAGTCAGAGCTACGGCTTCTTCATTAATGGAAGATGAGCAGCTCTAAATCTCTACCCACCTTCACTGCAACAACAGGTGCCCAAAATAATCAGTATAGATGCCTACGAATCTGTGTTCAGAAAAGAGACTCCTCAATTTAAGAAAATGCTTCATGGGCTTTTGTCTATAAGGCCTACTTGTCAGCCAGTATAGAACTGTTCTGTAAAGCAATCTTTACTGAAACTCTTCTTGCCTTTAAAATCACTTTCTAGGTTAAGGATGGTGGGATATTTTCCCTGATAATAAAACAGGTGTTCTCTTACAATTCTGTCTCATAATTATGTGTTATTAACTGATATGTATTATTAAACATACTCCATCTGTTTTTTTCAGCTTAAAACACTCTATGTAAAATCTTAATATTCATTTCTAAGTAAAGGCATAACACCCTACTGCATACCTGCACTTCTGTAGCTCAGATCACCAAGAATTTTGTCTCCCACTTTTCTCAGCTTCCAGTGCTGTCTCAGTCTCAGTAGTTCTGAGTTGAAGTCTCTTTGTCGCTTATTTTCCTGGTTTTCTGCAACTGATTTGGATAATCTTTCTGCTCCTTTTAGCAGGATCTGAGCTGCACCTGCTAATGACTTCTTTTTTGAAATCAGCTGTAGAAACTGAGGATTCTAGGAGGAAAATGAAACCCAACAAACATGTCATGGTTTCTGCTGTGTCTTGTATGATGCTGTGTTTTGGCTTTGGGAAAGAAATAATGTTAATAATACAACAATGTTTTAGCTGCTGCTGAGCAGCGCTCCACAGAGGCAACAATGCTTCAGCTTCTGACACTGTGCTGACAGTGAGGGAGCTTTTGCTGGATGCTGAGTAGCCTATTCAGAATTACTTTCACATCAGTATTATATGGCCACAAGAAGCACTTTGATTTACAACTCCAAGAAGCCACTGAGCTCAGCATCCTTTCCCACTCTGAGCCCTCCTACTCACCCATAGAGCACAGGATGAAGACACCATGTGGAACACTACCAGTTTTTGTACTTATCACTCACACAGAAAAGCCTCAGTGTAACAAAACCTTCAGTATAAACACACAGGCAATGCATAAGCTGCAACGAACCTGCTTGGCAGGAGGAGGATCCTGCACCACTGGATCCAGAGTCATGAACTTTTTATCCTTAACGATGCTGAGAACATCATACAGCACACACATTTCAGTCAGGGCACTTCTTAAGTTGTTTCTCACTGAGTCCCAAGGCCAGAGGGACGGCTGAAACTTCACCAACCCTGAAAACAAAACAAATACAGACACAAGGTATGTTTTGAGAACGAGTCTTACACCCTATCGTTTTACAAACCTGCCACAAAAGCATAAAACACAACGTGATACATGGGTTTATCTTATCTCCCTTTTCCCAAGGTGTTTTCTAGGCCTCTGTCAGAAGTATTTTAGAATCATTTGAGTTGGAAGAGACCTTTAATGGTCATCTAGTCCAACTGCCCTTCCACGGGACCCCTACAGCTACAACAGATTGCTCAGAGCCAAGTTCAGCCTGACCTTGAGGGTCACCAGAGCCATCTCCATCTCCCTGGACAATGTGTTCCAGTGCCTTACCATCCTTATTGTAAAAATAGTTCTTTCTTATATCCAGCCTAAATTTCACTCTTTTAGTTTGAAACCATTTCCCCTTATTCTGTCACAACAGACCCTGCTAAAGAGCCTGACCCTTCCTTTCTTACAGCCCCCCTTTAGATACTGAAAGGCTGCTGTCAGGTCTCCCCACAGCCTTCTCATCTCCAGGCTGCACACCCCAGCTCTCTCAGCCTGTCCTCATAGGAAAGTTGTTCCATCACTTGGAGCATTTTTGTGGCCCTCCTCTGGATGCGCTCCAACAGCTCCACGTCTCTGCTATATTGAGGACTCCACATCTGGACTCAGTGCTCCAGATGAGGCCTCACAGCACAGAGCAGAGGGGCAGGATCATCTCCCTCGCCCTGCTGGCTGTGCTGCTCTGGCTGCCCAGGATACGTATGGCTCTCTGGGCAGCTAGGACACACTGCTGGCTCACGTCCAGCTTCCCATCCACCAACACCCCCAAGCCGTTCCCAGCAGGGCAGTGCTCTATCCTTACAGAGATAGCGGTGTTTGCCATGCCGCAGACACACACCCTGCACCAGGCTCAGGGGAACCCCACGAGGCGCTCCCGGCCCGACCCCGCCGCCCTCCGGGTACGCACAGAGCAGCCGCAGCGGCCGCAGTCCGCGCACCCCCACCCCGAAGGCCTCCGGCAGCTACACCGCCCGGCCCGGCCGCCCCCACCTTCCTCATCCTCCGCCTCGCTCGGCTCGGCCCAGGCGCGGCCCGCCGAGCCCGGCTCGTCCTCCTCGGAGCCGGAGCCCTGGCTGAAGTCGATGCGCTGAGCCAGGCGCGCCAGGTTCTGGGACATGGAGAGGGGCTGCAGGTAGGTCTCGCTGCCATCCAGCCCCACCTCCTGCACCTGTTTCTCGCACGCCGACTCGATGCTGATGCGCACCGCCGGCACTCCCGCCATCTTGGCGCGCCCTCCTCGCCTCCTACGGGTGCCGGGCGGAGCCGCGAACCGAGCGCGCTCGGCTGTTTCCGGAAGCGGCGCTCAGGCGGGGCCGGCTTCACGGGAACGCGCTAGGGCGCGGCCCCGATGGCAGCGTGCGCGTTTTCTTTGGCAGCGGGTTTGTTCTGCATGCTGAACGCAAATTCACTCCTAGTTCCACATCACCGAAACAGTCGCACAGAAAAGCCACCAATCAGTGATCAGAGTGCAGCATTAGTAATGTTTTACTGAAATTGGAACTACATGATCCTTGAGGTCCCTTCCAACCCGGGTGATTCTGTGATTCTGTGTGAATTCAGCCGTAGCCCCTTCGGTTACAACTCCCGTTTTCCCCATTGACGCGAAAAGCTGGCAGTTTATTGCTCGGCGTGTTTGCTCTTGGCTTTGATCACTGGCATAATTAAGAGTTACAAAAATCAGCGGTTTTACTCAGGCAAAAGCTCAGCTCCCCTCCCGGCGGCTCACTCCCGCCCCACGTTGTGCGTTTCCTTGGGCCGGTCGATGCGGAAGAGCAGCTCGGCGGGCGCCAAGTAGGCGAGGTACTGCACCACGTCCGGCGTGGTGTCCGTGTGGTAATGGCCGCCCTCGCCGTGATGGCTGAAGCAGTGCGTGTGCTCCAGGCGCAGGTCGCAGCCCTGCAGGCAGAGAAAGGGCCCTCAGTACGTGTGGGGTGTCACGGCTTTGCAGCGAGCGCAAAGGACGCTACAGCCATTAGGTGCTGAAAAGGTGCGGGATGTTTGTGCAGCTGCTAAGAAAGATGAAGAGCAGCTGTGTGAATCCGTGCCACGGGACAGTGTGGAGAAAAGAATTTAGAAACTCTGCCAGACATCAACTTTTTGGTGTTCATCTCTCAGAGATTTCCTTTTTTTGAGTTGGGATTCAACCAAGCAATCACAGCAGTGAATCATAGACTACAAATATAGATCGTTAAGGCTGGACAAGATCTCCGAGGTCCTCTCACCCCACCACTGAGCCATCCATCACTACCACACCACTAAAGCATGTCCCTCAGTGCCACATCTACACGTTTCTTGAGCACCTGCAGGGACGGTGACTCTACCACCTCCCTGGGCAAAAGTGAGGAAGGAAGCCATTCTGGAGAATAGAACCCCTTTGCAGTGAATCCCATAGGAAAGCTCCCATGAAGAAAGGCTGAGGGAACTGAGGATGCTTGGCTTGGAGAAGGGAAGGCTCTGGACACCTCAATGGGGTGCAGCCCTGGCACTGCTGCCCAGGGAGCTGTGGGTGCCCCAGCCCTGGAGGTGCTCGAGGCCAGGTTGGATGGGGCCTTAAGTCTGATCTAGGGGGTGGTCATCCTGCCACAGCAGGGGTTGGGAACTGGATGGTCTTAAAGGTCCTTTGCAACCCAAACCATTCTATGCTTTTTTGAAACAGAACAATTTGTTCACTGATAAAAACCACTTTCCACCGGTGTCTGTAATGACACTCAGGTATTTCTAAACACAGCCTCTGCTGAATGCTGTTGAGTATCAGAGGATACACATAGGAATAACCCAGCTGCATCCACCACACAAGTCATGTTGGTTCTGAACAGGTCAGCTGTCTATGGCTGCTTTCCAAGTAATGTTCAACAGATTCTGGGAAGATGTACACAACCAAAAGTTGCCAAGACACAACATCTCACCACTGAGAGCATTCAAGCCAACAGCATCTTTCATTTAACTCTGGAAAATTATTTTTCTAATTATTATTTATGACTGCATTGTTACTTACAAAACAGTCATTTTTATGTATGATTTCCTGATCACTTTTGAACAAAGTCTTCCTAAAGGTGAACATCTTAACAGCTTTTGAAACTAGATTGTTTTCTTTCCTGAATCGTTTGCTGTTGATTTCAGTGCTCGTGAAAGATGCTAGCTATCTTTTCAGCACGAGGATTTGCAGGCTTTAATTTGCATCTGTAATTGAGACTCATGCTGGAGACATTTTGACACAGTATTGTCCAAGACAGCTCCTCTGAAAGCGAACAACATGAGCATGTGACTGGTCAAGCTGCCGTGCTCTTGACATTCTTCCTGATGTGGCCAGCTGTGAATGCAAACTGTGCTGATAGGTTTGGGATGCAAACACTTGGACATTGCAATTGTAACAGAACCACTGAGGTAAATCCTCTATGAACACTCACTGCATTCCAGAATTGGTTGGTCAAGTCTCAACTGAAACCAATGAAGAAATGAGAAGCCGGTATTTTATCACACCGTCTCTGAAAGCCTTTAAGACAGTATGCACACACTCCTGTTCTTAAAGGGAAAGTCACATTCATAACAAAACTCATTACAAGACTCAGTTTATACTTAGAAATGTGGAGAAGACTCACTGGATCTCTTGAAACGAATACTGGCTGACAAATCAGCGGAGCCTTCATTTCAAAGAAGTTGAGCCAGTTATTCAAATCCTCATCAGTGTTCAGAGGACAGGTAGAAAATTCTGCAGGCTACAGTAAAAGCAAAAGCTTTAAGTAAGATAAAGATACATCAAGGCATTTCTTCTATCAACTTTCCTTCACCTTCCTCCTCCCCACTATTCTGTTCACATTTGTTCTTTCCTTTTAGAAGCCCATTACTCTGTTTCTGCCAGAAATGGAAGTGACCAGAATATTGCTTCTTTCATTGCAGATATCTTGTGGGACAACTACTGAAGTGATGATTTTCCTCCTGGTATTTTAGAAGTTCAACTGTTGTTGTTTTTTTTTTTTGTGTGTTTTTTTGTTTTTTTTTTGTTTTTTTTTAAATAAATGTGTATTGCTTTCTGTAAGTATCATCTCAGTTACTGTATTTTATTTTATTCCACTTTACAACTGTCATACAATTCCTTCTCTAGCTGCCCACGGATTTCAGAAGAAAAGATGAAAGAAGTCAAGTTACACAGCATCATTAATTTTGTTACGTCAATTTTGCAGTATTCGCTTCTTACTTTAATACAGTGCTTATCCTAAGAGTTTATACAAATTTAAGAATACAAAAAAAAGTCCAGACAGTAAGAAATTGTAGGTTGATTTATAATTCTGCTTTCAGAAGGACTAAAAAAAAAAAAAATTATGAGTTGAGAGCTACTTACCATAATGTGAATTTTTGCTTTTCCCTTCTGAATGATAAATGTACCACCCATCCCAACTGTCTTTTCTCCATAGTGTTTCTCTAAAGTTCGTCTTATACAAGACACAAAGTTAAGCTCCCCAGTTCTTCCATTGGCTTTCACTTCAAGAACCTGGAGGATAAAGTGATTTCATCACTGCCGTCTCCTACAGCAAGTCTGCAAAGGTCTGCAAAAGCTGTTCTGAAACTCTCCCATACTTATAACCCAAGATTACTTTTTCAAAGCATGAGTTTCCCCCAGAACTTCTGTTCCACATCCTTCCAGTACTGGATCCAACTTTATTTCTGACTCTCTGTTCAACACTAGCTTTACCTGTGAAGGGTACCAAGTCAGTTACTCACACATAAAACAATTGTATAGGTAACTCCCTTCTATCCATCAGCTGGCTTCAGCTCTGTTATAAGTTCTTGGAGAGAGAGACTGCTCAGTTTCCATGCAATAATCTGGTTTTTGGCTGCTCTGCCAGCACTGCTTCGTGCCAGCTGTGGTGAGGGTAAAGCTTCTACAAAAAAACCTAAGATTTTGTAAATCATTTGTGCACAAGTCAGTCACTGTACAATGACCTTAAGTCACTGTATGTCTGGACTGGATTTGAATGGACGATTTATGAAGGAAAAGTTTTACTAAACTGTTACTTATTCCTCAACATTTTATACTCCTCTCTGTATCCAACGATTCTACTCATTCACCAGCCACGGTTTCTCACATCTGGATACTTGTTTCATGGAATTGCTCTTTTACTATTATCACACAGATGTGATTTAATACTGAAAGATGAATTTCCCTTCAGCCACAAGGTTCTACAAGAGAAGTCACCTCTGATCCAAATACGCACCTTACCAGGTTGGCCCTCGCTGGCATAAAGGTTGGCCATCAGCCCAAATTCATAGTCCGAGTATTTACTGCTGTACTTTTCCAGAAGGCATCGTTTATCTGCAGGATTTATCCGAGCAAGGTAGCTCCCATTTACAGCAGGCTGTTTTTCATTCTTAGTTAGCGCAATAGGGATAAACTGAGACAAAGAACATGTAACAAATCGATAACAATATGAGTCAGTATAATGAACACAACTAACTCTATATGAAGTTTGGACTTTGTGGACTTTTATATTTGTATATAATCTTTGGACTATGTGGTTTATGCTCTTTTGGCATGAAACGTGTTTACTGTGCGATCCATTTGTTCTAAGCGGCAATCATTGAGCATGATACCACTTTACTATTTTGGTACTGAGATTAAATCATTGAGAACGATCACACTTATAGCTACTGACCTCAGCATTTACACCAACAGCTCTAGATGAAACAGCCCCAGCTCCAAGAAAAAAAGCTCCAGGAAGCTCTATGTCTTTTGCAACAGTATTTAGATCATAAACCTGCAAAAGAGACACAAGTGTGATTGTGGTGTGGTGCTCTGGTGTGGAGTAGTCATTCTCAAATTGTCACTGTAACCCTGGGTGCATTCACAACATTCTCATTAGTATTTCAGATAGGATGAACACAGCACCCAAATCTAAACAACACAACATTTGACAGTAATAGAATGGATACATCCCTACCTGGTTTTTTGAGAGGGAAGGTTGTGGGTATGATCCCCTGCCATTTTACCCAAAAACCAAACTACTGCTTTTATTGAAAACTATATTTGCATAAAATAAAAAACACAACATACAAGACAGATGGGGCTGGGTGTCAGAAAGGAGACATGGTATTCTTGGGAAGGGACAGAAATGTCAAACTACTGTTGACTCGAAAACACAAATACAGCCAATTGTTACTAAGAAGCATGACTTGAAATCACTGACACACAACAAGCCACTTATAAACGTGCAGACAAGCTCTTCTAGTTCCTTCCATGGCTT